TGCGCCACAGCAGGCCACCCTGGGGGTGACAGGAAGAACTGGACCTCCCAAGAGCCCAACAGCTTCTCGCTGGATCGAGGGAAGACGCGTGTCAGTCCTAAATGTCCAATGCCATTTGCTGTGTTGCATCGCACGGCACGCGCACTCCATGCGCGCGACCCCTTCAGCCAAAACTGCTTTAACAATTTTAACGCTGGTTTGGGCGCAAGCTGCTTTAACAGTTTAAACGCCTGCTGCGCCACACCGTTCCCATGACATTTGCAGCGCCCTGCGTGGCGTGGGGGGATAGCGGATGGGACGGTACGCCTAAAATCTGGGTAGTTGCAAATTCCCGTGCTGACGATTTGTGGTCGTTTGAGTGAGCAAAAAATGCGTCACTACTCTTGGGCGCGGTGCGGCATGGATACACGGATACGCCGGTACACCCAAAAGCAAGTCCAAAGTGGCCGCAACAAAGTGCGGCTCTGGTATGTGGTGTTGCGTCTCTCCCGGCTGCGTGGCCGAGAACTTGGGGGTGAGGTGTCGAAACCTATAATCCAAGCAACAGGACCGTGAGACACGATAGCTTGCACCACGTATGGTGTTCTTAATTTGGACCTTGAGTTTACCCTGGAGTACATCGGGACCCACGGACTGGATCAAGTAAAGAATTGTGTCATGTACGTGGTGACAGCGATTTCGTTTGCCTGACCAAAATGGCAACCCCTCCAGCTGGGCGGTTGCTGTCCGACCTGGTTGCCGGATTAAAATCGGGTGCCGCCCGAGGCGGATACACGCCTCCTAGACTAGTTTGATTTCGTGCGGGTCGTCCAGGAGGGTCTCCTGTAAAAAAATAGCCAGACGAAGGACCCAACCATCTGCAATTGAGAGTACTGCGTTGTGGGTACCGGTTCGGTGGAGCTCCCTTTGGGGCCACAAAACGCTGTCCTGGGTGGCATTGACGCATGCGGCCTGTGCCACTGGAGCCGTCGGTGGAGCTTGCTATGGGGCCACGAAACGCTGTCCTGGGTGGCGTTGACGCATGCGGCCTGTGCCACTGGAGCCTTCGGTGGAGCTCCCCATGGGGCCACGAAAGGCTGTCCTGGGTGGCGTTGACGCATGCGGCTTGTGCCATTGGATCCTTCTGTGGAGCTCCCCATGGGGCCACGAAGCGCTGTCCTGGGTGGCGTTGACGCATGCGGCCTGTGCCACTGGAACCGTCGGTGGAGCTCCCTATGAGGCCACGAAGCGCTGTCCTGGGTGGCGGTGACGCATGCGGCCTGTGCCACTGGAGCCTTCGGTGGAGCTTGCTATGGGGCCACGAAGCGCTGTCCTGGGTGGCGTTGGCGCATGCGGCCTGTGTCAGTGGAGCCTTCGGTGGAGCTCCCTATGGGGCCGTTCGGTGGAGCTCCCTATGGGGCCACGAAGCGCTGTCCTGGGTGGCGTTGACGCATGCGGCCTGTGCCACTGGAGCCTTCGGTGGAGCTTGCTATGGGACCACGAAGCGCTGTCCTGCTGTCCTGGGTGGCGTTGAAGCAAGCGGCCTGTGCCACTGGAGACTTCGGTGGAGCTCCCTATCGGGCCACGAAAAGCTGTCCTGGGTGGCGTTGGCGCATGCGGCCTATGCCACGGGAGCCGTCGGTGAAAATCCCTGTGGGGCCACGAAACGCTGTCCTGGGTGGCGTTGACGCATGCGGCCTGTGCCACTGGAGCCTTCGGTGGAGCTCCCTATGGGGCCACGAAGCGCTGTCCTGGGTGGCATTGACGCATGCGGCCTGTGCCACTGGAGCCTTCGGTGGAGCTTACTATGGGGCCACGAAACGCTGTCCTGGGTGGCGTTGACGCAAGCGGCCTGTGCCATTGGAGACTTCGGTGGAGCTTGCTATCGGGCCACGAAGCGCTGTCCTGGGTGGCGTTGACGCATGCGGCCTGTGCCACTGGAGCCTTCGGTGGAGCTTCCTATGGGGCCACGAAGCGCTGTCCTGCGTGGCGTTGGCGCATGCGGCCTGTGCCACTGGAGCCTTCGATGGAGCTTACTATGGGGCCACGAAGCGCTGTACTGGGTGGTGGAACGCAGGGGGGTGACGAGGCGGATGGGAGGAGGGAGCAGGGGGAGGAGGAGAGGAGAGGAGAGGAGGAGGAGACGCGGGGCGCTGTCTCTGCAAAACGAGGACCCAACACCACATGATTGTTGGGAATTGCCCGCGCGTCTTGAAACCTTCCTTTCTCTCAAGGGCGGCGGACCGTTGTCCAGGCATCCCCATATTGAAGGTGCAGAAGGGCATTGCCGCAGAACTCTCGTCAATACATGGGCAACCAAGACTGTGGCCGGGGCCCCAAAAAGGGGGATGCTACCCCAACTGCGGAACGCCTTCTGCCGCCGCGGCCACGGCCGCCCTCGCGCCCTCGTCCCGAAGGGCCGCCTCCTGGGGCGCGGCGGCGCCGATCTGCGGGATGGGGGATTCGCCCGCATCCTCGCCCGCCGGGGCTGGGGCTCCCAAGGCCGCCTCGGCTGCGTCTCCTGCCGCATCCTCGCGCTCGTCTCTCCCGCGAACTTCCTGGTGTCCCGCTCGACATCTTCTCCTGCCTGCTTCCCCACCGCTCTAAATTTCTCGCATGAGAGAAGGAATCGGCTGGCCCGAGTTTCCCGAGGCTGGCGTTCGCTGACTCAACAAGTACTGCAAGAACGGTCAAGTGACACAAACGGCCAGGCTACAGGGCTGGATGCAATAAGTCAGAGTGAGGCCCAAACGTTCCAGGACCTTGCTGCAGACTGGTGACAAGAGAACTTTTTGTTGCCCGGCCGAAACCGATAGCTTCGAGCAGAACTAATTCCAGAGGGCCCTTCATCTCGTCGAACGAGGGGCGCAGCTCGACGCGCGGCTCGAAACCCAGGAAGAATATCCCGAAGGGTGCATTACACATGTTATGAATGACGTTCAATACGCACAGCAAGCGGGTTCCCGCCACGCATTGCAATAGGCAGTGCAAGTACCAATACATGCCAGATTTTTTTGTGTGCGGCACAGTATGTCCCATTTGCTGCAGGGAGTGTCAACCGCCCAGCTGGTTGTTGGCCCCGCATTCGCCGTGTTGCCAAGTGCAGGAACAGCTGGAGAGCCCATCCGTGTCGTGCCAGCAGAGAGGACATCCCAGTGTGGAATTCGTTGGGCAACGCCATTCAGGCCGATGGTTTAAATAGAAAGGCTTCCAAACATTTTACCGAGCATCCCGGTTGTAAGCTGGTATGACTGCAGATTCGTGTGAACGTTTGTCGGGACCTGCTCAGGCCAAGGTTTGTCACACCGTGTTGGCTAGTGAGCTATACGCAGAAGACGACCGTGCACCTGCCTATTGTCCTGGCTAGCCCTGGCACCTCCTTGACATTTCTGACTGCTGACACCATGTGTTTGAAACATCATATCGGTGACGTTCTCGCGACCACCGCTCTGTGCCGCTCATGGAGGTTGATCCTGGCCGTGCCCTGGATCTCTGGGCGCCACTGGCCCACATGGGCCACGTTGCGTGGGCCTGGGTTGTGCAGGAGTCTTAGCCCTGAACCTCTTCCCTCCGTGGCCTTGCTTGACTTTCGGCCAGTGTTTCCCGGTTGCTTAGGACTGAAGCTCTGTCCTGGGGAAGGCATGGTCTGAACACCTGTAAGAGTGCACTGGTGCCGCGTGACAATCTGCGCTCAGGCTCGGTCTTATTTTGCTACATGTGGGCTGGATGAAAGCGTTCCCCGTGGCGATGGATTTCGCTATGCACGCCAGCCCACCTGTTGCACATTTATCTTCGTTGACTGGGTTTGTCGGGAAGGGTGGCATTCAGTATTGGCGGGGCCCCTCTTCCATCATCTCTTGCCATCTTGCTCCTCTTGGTGATCTAATCTCTCTCTCTCTCTTTCTCACGAGAAAGTACGGGGGCTCTACTCGCTTGCGAAAGTGGCCTCGGCTCCCACGGGAGGCGTGGCCCGTGTGTCCGCCCCGATGCCGTCGCCTCTATTTGTGTTCGGCCCCAGGCCGATTCAACTGGTCTGGCGGGTCGCCATGGTGAAAACGAAGAAAAAATCGGTGTGACTGGTCGGCCCCTGATGTTCCTCTCCCGCTGCGCTGCTCTGTCTGCCCGCCTCGCCTTTCCCTTGCGTCCCTAGTGCTAGAGTCGGCAGCGAGCCCAGTGTCGTAAGTTTTTGTGTGAGTGAGGAGGACGAGGAGGTGGACGAGGAGGACGAGGAGGCTGACGAGGTGGAGGAAGGACGACGATGAGGTGGAGGAGGACGAGGGTGGAAGGAAGCAGGGTGGAGGAAGGCCTGCTTCTCTCCTCGTCTCCCCCTCTCCTCGTGCCCCTGCCTCTTCCTCAGCCATCCAAGGACCCGTGTTGTTTCCAGTAAATGCCCCCCCTCAGATTTTTCGACGCTTTCCCGCAACTTTTCATCCGGACCAGATGTTGATGGTCCAGGGGCGTTGAAATGGCCTCGGGATGCCGAAGACGGCAAAGCATGGCGACACACTCCTGGCAGGATGTTTGTCGAGTCGTCAAAGGTCTGGGTTCTCTTCCCTCAATGGTCGGCCCAACTGGCCTATCCATTGGTGCGTTCTGGCCAAATTTTCAAGGCGGGTCCACCCGTGAGATCCGGAAGAAGCAAACAACTTTCAAACATATGCGTTCAATCCTCCTACTCCTCCTGAGGTCTCCAGGGGTCCCGTGAACTGTCTGGAGCTCTCCAGGGCCTCCAGGAGCCTTCAGGCGCAATCGAGAAGTAGCCCAGACATTCAAACATCTCCTCGGCCCAGCGACACACTCGATATCTAGATCACATACCATCTATGCTAGCTCCCCGACCGTCCGGGCGGTTCCCCCAAAGCGGGGGGCTCGCGGCTGTCAGTGCAGCCTGGCGGTCCCCGAGCCCTCGGTCCTCGATCCCCTCCTCAACCCTCGGTCGCCGAACCCTCGGCCCCGACGGCGACGACGGGGATCGAGGTCCGAGCGCGTGAGCCTGCGCCACGTGAGCGGCGGTCTGGATCACTTGGCGCGGCGGCTCGAGCCAGAAAGCACTCGCCGAGGGGAGCAGCGCTCGTTCGTAGTCGTTGTCGTCGTCGTCGACGTCGTCATCGTCGCTGTCACCGCCGCCGCCGTCGTCGCGCTCCAGCGCGCGTGGGGTGTGTGGGGGAGGAGGGACAAACGGGGTGAGGGAGGGAGGGGAGGACGAGGGCGAACATCTCCTCCGTCCTCCTCCTCACGTCCCGTTGCGGTTTGGCCCGGCTTTGCCTGCGGCGTGGCCTCTGGTGCCAGCCTCCGTCTCTCCCTCTTCCTGTTTCCTGCTCTCCCCTGTGTCTCTCCCTCTCCCTCTCCCTCCCTCCCTGCGGCCGCCCTACCACCCAAGGGGGTATAGGCACCTGTGAAACACCAATGCAGCGAACGGATCGCAAGCACGGCCCCGCGCAACACCTCATGGCTGCCAACAGCCATACCGGGAACGCGAAGGGTTCTCATCGATAGCATCACGGCGCTGCAGCAGAGTGCCACTAACCTTGCGCAGACATTTCGTACCATCCAGGAGTAGTCCTATCTTCTGCTGGAGAGATCCCAACGAGCTCAATCCGCCTGGAACGACCTGCGACAGGCCTTCCGTCCGACCGCGTCTCTCGGGGTCACCCTACAAAAACAAACCTCCAGGCGCACCTCGATGGTCATCACTAGCGCTCCAGTGCGAGCCTCTCCTCTCTCGGTGACGCTGCGAAAACAACTAGCAACTGTTCCGAGGCTTTTGCAAAGGGCCGCTGCGGGGGATGCCCCAAGGTGGCGCCACTATTCGCTGAAGTACTGAAGCGCGCATGCCAAAGCGTGCTTGCAGCTGGCGAATTGTGGGCGGGTGCAGACGGGGCGTGGCACGCCCTGATCGCCACAGACCCGTTTTCTTTTCCAGCCGGGGACCCCTACAGTCCGCGCCAGGGGGAAGGGTACTTTTCCCCACCCTAGTTTGCTTTGCGGCACCTCCCGCGAATGCGAGGTAGGCCTAAGCGGCAGTCCAGCCCCGCGAGGCTTGGACGACCTGCCATCCGAATTGTTGCTCGGTCCCTCTCCCTCTCCCTCTTCCTCTCTCTCTTTCTCTCCGCCGTACGCCAAGCCAGAGCTCTCTCACGGCCCCCAACGGCCGCCACTCTCAACAGGCCGTCGCGCCATCTCACTCTGGGCGTTCGCCGCCTTCCTGATCCACCCACGTTGGTTTCCTACCTCCAACCCGCCTGCGGGGCAAGGGGCTTGTTCTCCGGGAAAAAAGGTGATTCCCTGGGAGAACGGATGACTCTCCGGGTGGACTTTTGGAGCCTAGTGGGCTTCTGGGGATTCTGGCAGAAGTGCTGATTCTCGAAGTGGGACCAAGGATCTTCAAAATTCAGTCGATATTCCATTTCTCAAATCTAAATGCGATCTCTGGCCGAGACGCCTAAGATTTCGTAACACTCCAGCATCGGCTACCTGGAAAAACCAATCTTCGAGATGATTTCTGCAGATGTGACGATACAGTCGCCGTATTAGTACCTTCAGTAGTAGTAGTCGCAGTAGTAGTAGTAGTAGTAGTAGTAGTAGTAGTAGTAGTAGTAGTCGTCGAGTAGCAGCAGCAGCATCAGTAGTAGTAGTAGTAGTAGTAGTAGTAGTAGAAGTAGTAGTCGTAGTAGTAGTAGTAGTAGTAGTAGTAATAGTAGTAGTAGTCGTAGTAGTAGTAGTAGTAATACTAGTAATAGTAGCAGCAGAAATACTAGTCGTCGTCGTCGCCGTCGACGCCGTGGTACTAGTAGTAGTAGTAGTAGTAGTAGTAGTAGTAGTAGTAGTAGTAGTAGAAGTAGAAGTAGTAGTAGTAGTATTAGTAGTAGTAGTAGTAGTAGTAGTAGTAGTGGTAGTAGTAGTAGAAATAGTAGTAGTAGTAGGTAGGTAGGTAGGTAGGTAGGTAGGTAGGTAGGAAGGTAGGTAGGTAGGTAGGTAGGTAGGTAGGTATGTAGTAGTAGTAGTAGTAGTAGTAGTAGTAGTAGTAGTAGTAGTAGTCGTAGTCGTAGTCGTAGTCGTAGTAGTAGTAGTAGTAGTAGTAGTAGTAGTAGTAGTAGTAGTAGTAGTAGTAGTAGTAGTAGTAGTAGTAGTAGTAGTAGTAGTAGTAGTAGTAGTAGTAGTAGTAGTAGTAGTAGTAGTAGTAGTAGTAGTAGTAGTAGTAGTAGTAGTAGTAGTAGTAGTAGTAGTAGTAGTAGTAGTAGTAGTAGTAGTAGTAGTAGTAGTACTACTAGTCGTAGCGAGGGTCGCAGTAGCAGTAGTAGTCCTACCGTAGTAGTAATGGTAGTAGTAGTAGTAGTAGTAGTAGTAGTAGTAGTAGTAGTAGTAGTAGTAGTAGTAGTAGTAGTAGTAGTAGTAGTAGTAGTAGTAGTAGTAGTAGTAGTAGTAGTAGTAGTAGTAGTAGTAGTAGTAGTAGTAGTAGTAGTAGTAGTAGTAGTAGTAGTAGTAGTAGTAGTAGTAGTAGTAGTAGTAGTAGTAGTAGTA